TGAGAGCGGCCAAAAAAAGCTGCGGTGAGAAATGACCGGAATTGTAGATGTCCGTCGCTAGGTTTCTGAGCGATTGAAGCATCCCCTGGGGCACGTTGTCCGATTCCTTGCGACGATGTGCCTCTTTTTGGGCCCAACCAAGGACCACCACCGTTTTGGCGGCGTCATGTTCTGGGAGGCCGGTTGTGCCACCGAGAGCGTGATTGAAGCTGATGTAGTTGCGCCCAAAAGCAGATCCGATGCCCGCGGGGGCTTGCACCACCTCTGTGATCCAGCGAAGAATCTTGCCGTGGTCAAGCGTGTATGGTGCGCTTCGCTCCCATGCCCCGAAGACAGGATCATCGATGTTCCAGAAGGTTCTGAGCGCAGATGCCCTCAACTGAACGGTTTGAGCCCCCAATGGTGCTCCCGGTGCAGCGGGGAATGCATTTGCAGGTGTCACGTAGACCACCTCTGATCGAAAAGGCAGGTAGCCTTCGATCCCAGCTTCCTCCAGGATACCGGTGGCAATCGCTCCCAGAGTCCAGGGCTGGGGCGGGGTGGCGCAAGTCCCTGACCCTGTGATGGTTCGGCCATTCGATTTGATGAGCGAATTGGCAAGCAAGGTTGACACTCGACAGCCGATGTGGATGGTGCTCTCCATGTTGGCGTTGTGAGGAAAGATTCCCACGAACAAAGGCTTCTCGTTGCGTGCTTGAGCCGCTACCTCTGCCCTGTTTGTGACTCCGTGACCAGCTCGTCCTTGAGGAATGACTGCTCCCGGAATCCCTGAATAAGCAGTGAGAGCAGCTGCCACAGCAGGCTCTTGCATGATCACTAGGGCGTTTACCCATGCACCTTCTGGGAGGTACCCAACGACCAGGACAGCTGCAGCCACCAAGTTCACCCCTGCGGCGATGTGGGCAGGACCATTTTGAACACTTCTTAGGGCGTTTGTCGTTCCGAACATCGTTTCTTCGAAATGTCCATATGATCCAGCGACGCATGCTGCGACCAAGGTGGGGCCAACTCCTGATTGTGCCCATGGTGCCACGATGGGAACGCTGCGATCCAATGCATTCCATTCTCTCACAGTTGGCGTTCCTGCGGGAAGAGCTGCTCCTCCGGGTCTTGGGCTGAAAACTCTTCCCAGAGAAATTTCTTCTTTGATGTGTTTCTTGAAAAGGTCCTTCAGTTTCCCCTCTGTCCCGCAGTTGATCCTCACACCATCTATGCCTACGGTGAGAGAGTTGGCACGGTTGATCGTTCGAAACGTCCAATTTCCAGGGGCAATCACAGGTGCATGGGCCTCCAAGTTCACGCGGAGGTCTGGCATCGTTACGGCTTGTCCAGCTGGGAACAAGTCGCCTGAACTGCCCCACTGCCTGATCGTCAAATTCAGGGCAGCGGTTGCAGCTGACTCGTCGAAACGGTTGGCTGCCCCACCATTTGCCGCCAGAACGGCTGCAGCGTTGGCCGCCGCTGACCAATTTCCTGGCACCGCAACTCCAGCTGCTGCATATCCAGCCCTTACGGCTTCCGCGATCCCATACACGTCTCCTTCGGCTTTCGCCGAGAAAACTCCAGTTGAGCCAATCTCATGTAACAGAGTTCCGTCCCCGTTGTTGGCAGCTGACGCTACCCCTACTCGACCTGTCAAGTGTGCATCGTCCCTAATGACAATCACAGTGGATCTGCCTTCTGGAGTCCCCTGATCTTTTTCTGCACCAATGCCAGTAGCAAGACGATCAGTTGCAGGGGATCCCAACAGGTTCACAAGGCCCAAAATGCCTGCCATTGTTCCAGGGGGCTATGATCCTTCAACCAAGCTTGCAAAATTTGAAAAGGCTTCAAGATCTATTCAATATCTATTCCATATCTATTAAGTATCTATTCAATATCTATTCAATATCTATTCAATATCTATCCGAGATCTATTCAAGATCTATTCAAGATCTATAGAAAAATATTCAATATCTATTCAATATCTATTCAATATCTATTCAATATCTATTCAATATCTATTCAAAATCGATGCAATATTCAAGATCTATTCAATATCTATTCAAGATCTATGAAATATCTATTCAAGATCTATTCAATATCTATTCAAGATCTATTCAATATCTATTCAAGATCTATTCCAGATCTATCCAAGATCTATCCAGTATTTATTCAATATCAATTCAATATCTATTAAATTATGAATTCAATATCTATTCAATATCTATTCAAGATCTATTCAAGATCTATTCAATATCTATTCAAGATCTGAAAAATATCAATATCTATTCAATATCTATTCAATATATCAATATTAAATATCTATTCAATCGATGCAAGATCTATTCAAGGTCTATGAAATATCTATTCAATATCTATTCAAGATCGATTCAAGATCTATTCAAGATCTATTAAATATCTATTCAGGATCTATTCAAGATCTATTCACGATATGTTAAATATCTATTCAATATCTATTCAATATCTATTCAATATCTATTCAAAATCGATGCAAGATCTATTCAAGATCAATTCAATATCTATTAAATATCTATTCAATATCTATTCAAGATCTATTCAATATCTATTCAAGATCTATCCGAGATCTATTCAATATCAATTCAACATCTATTAAATCACTTTTTCAATATCGATTCAATATCTATTCAAGATCAATTCAAGATCTATTCAATATCTATTCAGGGTATATTCAATATCTATTCAATATCGATTCAAGATCTATTCAAGATCTATCCAAGATTTATTCAATATCTATTCAATATCTATTAAATTATCTATTCAATATCTATTCAATATCTATTCAAGATCTATTCAAGATCTATTCAAGATCTATTCAATATCTATTCAGTATCTATTCATATCTATTCAATATCTATTCAAAATCCATTCAAGATCTATTCACGATATGTTAAATATCTATTCAATATCTATTCAATATCTATTCAATATCTATTCAAAATCGATGCAAGATCTATTCAAGATCTATTCAATATCTATTCAAGCTCAATTCAAGATCCGTCAAATATCTATTCAATATCGATTCAAGATCTATTCAAGATCTACCCAATATCTATTCAAGATCTATTCAATATCTATTAAATATCTATTCAATATCTATTCAAGATCTATTCAATATCTATTCAAGATCTATCCGAGATCTATTCAATATTAATTCAACATCTATTAAATCACTTATTCAATATCGATTCAATATCTATTCAAGATCTATTCAAGATCTATGCAATATCATCTATTCAGGATATATTCAATATCTATTCAATATCTATTCAGTATCTATTCAATATCTATTCAATATCTATTCAATATCTGTTAAATCTCTATTAAATATCTATTCAATATCTATTCAAGGTCTATGAAATATCTATTCAATATCTATTCAAGATCTATTCAAGATCTATTCAATATCTATTCAATATCCATTAAATATCTAATCAATATCTATTCAATATCTATTCAAGATCTATTCAATATCTATTCAAGATCTATTCACGATCTGTGAAAAATCTATGCAATATCTATTCAAGATCTACTAAATATCCATTTAGTAAGAATAAAATATCTATTGAAGATTTATTCAATATCTATTTAATATCTATTCAATATCTATTGAAATATCTATTCAATATCTATTCAAAATCGTTGAAAGATCTATTCAATATCTATCCAAGATCTATTCAAGATCTATTCAAGATTTATTCAAACCTATTCAAGATCTACCCAATATCTATTCAAGATCTATGAAGCATCTATTTCTATATTTATTCAATATCTATTAAATATCTATTTGAAATCTATTCAATATCTATTCAGTATCTATTCAAGATCTATTATATATTCAAAATTTATTCAAAATCTATTCAAGATCTATTCAAGATCTCTTAAATATCTATTCAAAATCTATTCAAGATAATATATTCAATATCTATTCAATACCTATTCAATAGTATATTTAATATCTGATGGTTGATCAAAATTCCTGCATCCGCAATCGGCCATTCTTCGCGAATAAAAAATGTTACTTTCGGGAACTCCACGTTTATCCTCCGCGGGGCCCATGTTGGGCAACAACGCCTCTTATGAAGATTCGTTCACCACCTGGGAAATTGCGCCAGAGAATCACGGATCACTTCTTGATAGCCTTTTTAAATATGCAGCTAGCATCACGGAATCCCTTCTCAGGACAGATTGTTGCTGACGGTTTTTTTCGCAAGGTTTACTGACCCAACCCCTTCAACATGCAGTTTGACTTTCGCCTGCTCCTTCGCAGAACTTTCGCGGAACTTTCGCAAAAATATCCCTATTCACAGACCCCGGCCATCAGCAGGGGGCGCATTGAAGGAAAAGCGAACACCAGGGGCCTTGGTGTTTGGCTCTCGCAAAGCCTCACTTTTGGAAACTTGGCTGCTGCATTTGGAGCTTGTTTCTTGAGACTTCAAAAATCATCATTAGGCAGTGACAGCGGCAGGTGCAAGGATGTGCTTCAGGACCATGGTGTTTGGCTGTCGCGAAGCCTCACCTTTGGAAGCTCGGCTGCTACTTATGAAGGGCAAAGTGATTGTCCAAAAGCATCACCACACAGGGAACTGAACCAGAACCAAACCGAAATTCTCCGGTGCCCTTCTCCTGCCGGACCCCAGGCGGCAGTGGGTGGCAGCCCTTTACATAATGATTATAATATCCCGCGAAACTTTCGCGAAAAAAAATGTTACTTTCGCGAACTCGAAAAAAAATCGCGAAGGTTCCCAACATAACATGAACGGTCTTCGCAATTAAAACTCTTTACAAGGACCTTTAGATTGATCACCAATCATATCTATTCAAGATCTATGAAATATCTATTGAAAAATTATTCAATATCTAATATCTATTAAATATCTATTCAATATCTATTCAGTATCTATTCAAGATCTATAATTTATCTATAATTATTCATCGATTGGTTGAGAAATGGCGACGGCATGCCGACGGGTTGGATCCTGCCGGAGTCATCTTGGGGCTGGATGTGCGGCTGCGGAGAGGGCTCCAAGAGCATGCCTGCAGTGCTGCTGTCACTTGTGCTGATGACAGACATGTCGCTTACTGATGCGTCTTATAGATTCTTATAGTACTCGTATGTGACAGTATGTGTTTGTCTTTAAATCTTTGAAGAAGATTGAAGAAGATCAATTATATTCAATTATTCTTGAAATGTTGGAATCGTTGGGAACCCATGGGAACCCTCTCTGATCATGGTAAGTTTCATGGCTTCTGAACATGTCTTTGGGACCTCAGGGCGAAGTCGCTCCAAAAAGTGCGGCGGCGCCCTCCGCGCAAACGAACTTGAAGGAGCATGAGATAATATGAGATAGCATGAGGCAAACGTTGTGCATCTTGCTATACTGTGTCAGACTAGATTAGACTAGATGTCACTAGTACTACATTGAGCTCAACCAGCGCGGGCTGGATCATTATTTTCCTTTGATCAGCATTACAGAACGTGGTCTTGTTTGGCATCGTTTCTTGTCTCAACCAGACTTCATCAAGCTTGACTCTTTCAACTTGGTGTAATGTCACCGCAAATTCTTGAATTGCCACTGCTTTACCCATGGATGGCGAAGCACAAGGAAGCAGCAACAAAGTCAAAGCATCTTCAACCGAGTTCCAAGACTAATTAATCTGGAATATTCTGGAATGCAGCCAGGCATCCAATTCTTGGGCTGCTCACCCACCTTCCAAGATTCTAAGTTTGATCAGATTTGAACCGCTCACGAGTCTGGAAGCTCTGGAAGGTGAGACATTCCTGGATCCCTAGTCCTACCATCCCTACCAGTCCTGCCAGTCCTGCAACTGAATTCATTCCCTGCATTTCACTTTCACGTTCTAATCTTTCTATGGGAAGTGACACTGCCAGGCCTTGCCTCTGCTGACCTGGGACTGGACCCCTCGTGCATTTGCTGCGACACCTGAGACACTTGGGCGAAAAACTTCACCGCGTGGCCAAACGTTCACATCATTTCACATCATTTCACATGCAAATGGCTCAAATGCCTCCTCCTCAATCCGCGCTTCTTGTCGGCTGCAGTGAAAGTTCCTTGAGCATTTTGAGCATTTCACTTCGGCATTTCAACTCTTGAGTTCAAAAGAAACTTGTTTACAAAGCACGGAAGTCCCGCAAACAAAATGCATGTCGAGCCCAGTTCATATGCCCTTTAAAGATCTTTAAAATAAAGATCTTTAAAACATTGGAATATAGTGGACTATTCTGGTCAACATTGGGTGACAGAAACATCTTGCTGCGATCTGCTGCGATCTGCTGCGATCTGCTGAGATTCAAGACATAGCCGGGGCGTTGTGGGCGCTGTCGTGGCCGTGGCCGCCGTGGCCGCCGTGGCCGGGGCTCTAAGATCTCTGAGGGTGATCGAGGCGAAGGAGGTGATGGAACTGCCAGCGCCACTCGCTGCTCTTGTATTGTCAGGAAATACCTCAAATCCACAAAATCCAAATGAAAAAAAAACTCAGATGACTCACATGACATATCATGACATACAAACATCCTCAAACCTCGGCAAATGACATGGACCCTAGATCTCTAGGTCATTTCCATTTGAATTCCGCAAAAATGCAACTCACAGCCGCTGTGCAAAGCTTGCTTTTCCGAGTGTCGCACACCATATCTGGCCGTCTAGCTGTTGAAGAAACAGAGGCAGTGTTTGCCTTCGCAAGCAATAAAGGGCCGTTCGGTTTCTGTGACACATGCCGTAGAAGCCCAAAAAATCTGAAAAATAATGAGAACACCAATCCGTACCACAAACATGAAAAGATTGAAAAACACAGCAGATTGAAAGCGGCATTTCTTGTCCTTTGCGTTTCTTATCATTTCTTCGCGAGCCTGGCTCCAAGGACCGATGCTACTTTGGGCTTCGGCCTCTCGACATCTCGCCAACAACTCATCCATCTCCTGACCGTGGCCAAAAGAAATGGACCCCAGATCTCAATCCCAGATCTCATAGATATCATTTGATATCATAATATAACAATAAATTAATACACCTTGTAACAGCTAGAAACCTCTTGAAACACAAACAGGGATTTGTGCTAAGACTGCTAAAATCTTTTCAGCTCAAAACTACACAAAGCAGCACGTGCTACAGAATATCCTGCTCCACACTCCATGGCATTGATGGGACGTGCACCTCAACTGTGACTCGGCCTGGCGATCAGTGACTGTGCTCGACAACAAGTTTCAGCCCTGCGGAGAAGCGAGGAAAGTGATGGAAAGTGATCTGCGGACTAGACTCCTAGACTCCTAGACCTTAATGAAACGATGGAAAGATATGGAAAGCCTTTAAACATGTTGAATTGGTGAAACTCCCAGTGGCCTCTCCAAAGATGCACCTGATCCATGTTCTAAATGTGCCATTGCTTAGATTTTGCTTACGCGCGCAGGTTTTGCTTATACGATCTTACGCGCAGATCGTGTCTTACGCGGAGATTACCCTGGCTTACGCTCACCAGAGTTTCGCTCAGCCGCACCCTTACAAAGGGCCTCTTGCTAAACATGAACACAGGGTTCAGAACGTGGCTCACCTGGTGATGCATCCATCTCATCATCCACTGTCACCGTGATGTCTGGACCTAGGACCAAAAATGCCATCCACTTTGACACCAAGGAACATGAAGTCAGTTAAGTTATGCGGTTCGATGTGCAGAAATGTGCAGAATCTAGGCGTGTAAGGTAATACGATGTAGATCGATGTAGTAGATTTGATTTGCTGCAGAAGCCCCTGGAACTTCAAACCTCCTCAAACCCTAATCTAGGCGCAGGGCTCACAAAGCCATCTACAATCTCGGGCGTAGGTGTGGTTCCGTAGGGCTGTCCAGATCTATCATACCTTGTTTTGGACAAACATCGCCAAACTATATATTGCATTGGAGCCGGAAATTCAGCACCAATTGCCAAATTGCCAAAGATATGATCCGAATTGATATGCAACATGCACAGCACTACAAGTACAAATTAATTAAGTGCCTTTCATCAAAACAAGCGTATACCATAATTACCATGTCTGTAGTGGATTTACATTGGCTTTCCAAAGGCGTATAATGGCATCAAGCATCTACTAGCAACTGCAAACAGTGGATTTGATAAACTGAGATGCCGCAACCCGGTTTCAGCTTCTAGGTGGCTGTTCACCGACCTTAGCAGTACTTTGTGAAGCTAGTGCTGTTCGCACACGTGGCATCTTGTCAGTTCGGACTTATCTAGAAATTGTTTAGTCCCACCATTTCGGGGGGCCCAATGCTTTGCAAATGCATTCACAACGCAGCAGTTGCCAGTTCAACATAATTCAGCTAGGCGTTTGGAGTACTGGAAGCAGTTCCATATGTTCCATACAACCAAAATCAACCAAATGTTTTCAGTTCACATTCTTGTGCCAATTTGTGGCATGATTCTTGGGAGGTTTCACTTTGCAGGCGGCTGCCCAGTGCTCTGATCGTTCACTGTGAAAGCTTCTCAGCATCGGCAGCATTCAGCATCTAATGCCTAAGTAATGCCTTAATAATACCTACAGACCTACAGGACCTACGGTTGCTTGAGCTACGTTGGCTTCAGTGGGGCCAAGGACGAATTGAAACATTTGAAACCCTGTTGAACAAAAGTGCAAAGCAGCAAGAGGCGGCAAACAAAGTGCAACGGTGAACAAGACCAGAAACAGGAAAGATAAAGAAAAGAGAGGTCAGAGAAAAGAACACGCATAAAAGATGAAAACATGTTTACTGTTTACATGATTTTACATGTTCACATGAAAGGTAAAGAAAACGTGTTGTTTTTTTCCTTTTGGGCATTCAGTGGAAGAAAGAGCCGCTTCAAATCAATGCCCTGTGCTTCCAAATTAAAAGCATCACCTTTTGGTTGTGATTAAGATTGCAAAATGATCATCCTCGGTGAATCATTGTGAAATGATCACCTCCTGCTGGTTCAATCCATGATGTTTCGTTCGATGATATGTACATATACGACCTACTGACCTACATGTATTGCATGTTTGCAGTAGTATATTTCACCAAACAGCCCCAAGATACTGTAACCGTGACATGTCCTCATGATAATGTGCAAGCACTGAAATTCTGTGGCAGCCTCTGTCAGAGGATCCAGCCCCCTGTGTCTATATAAGCGTTTCTGATTTTGGGTCGCCTTAAAAAAAGAAATAACACAATGAATAACACAATTAAATGTGTGACATAGTGATGAACAATTCACTATAGATCACTATAGCAATATCAAAAAATATGTCATGTCAATCTCTGAGTCTCTCTGTGATGAGTTCCATGCCAACGAGCACCGGGGCTTTCATCATTGTACCAAGAACGACGTGAGGCTTCACCGGCTTCACCTAAACAAATCTTCCCATTTTATCCATTTTGTTGCTCAATCAGAGACTGGGATATAGATTCTCCAGCGGTTGCGCATCTAGATCTTGAGACTATGATAATGAGGTCAGCTTCCCACCTGCACTCATGTAGGAGCCGAAGAATTCGACAAAAGACCTCGACACGTTCGAAATGGTGTCAACAATGTGACAGACTGCAGTTAAAAAATGGTCAACTCTCACTCATCTCGGCCCATTCCAACTATGTCGTTGACTTGACTAGCTGCAAATGGGTGTACAAGTCTTGTTGATCACAGCAAGGACCCAAGATGAGCCAAGACTGTAGCACTGAGGCGGATTGTTGCACTCAAATGATGGCTTTTAAGTTGTGCGGCTGTGCGGCCTTGCCAAGCAGTCACAAACCCTCAGGCAATGAATCCGGCCATGGCTCAACAATATCCGTGAGATAGGTCACAAGTGATGTTAACGTTGTGGATCGTTGTGGGCATGGTATGGCAATGTATTGTGCGCGAGCTTTGTCGTATCTCGTCTTGTTTCTGAATTCAATGAAGATCAATGAAGATCAATGAAGTGTGCTCCCATGATTTCAAAGTTTTGCACGTATCCGTAATTATCCGTATATGTTGCAATGCCTTTCTCCCTCCGATATGTACCAGCCGCCTATGCTGGCCTGCACAGTCTGACTTGGAAAACGTTCGGCGATTGATGATGATTGATGAACACGGGATAAACGTCTGCAGAAATGTGGTGTCCTTCCCTCCATGGACACAGTGCGCACGGTTTCTTTCACTGGCAGCATTTAACATAGATGACATAGAGATCCCGAGATCTACTCAAGTTGTTGCCATAGCGTGAGTCTATGGGACTCCAATGCTTCTTTGGCAGGAGGCATTAGCAGTTCGTCAAGGCTTATTACCTTGAGATACCTTGAGAATTGTTTCATCCAGGGAGATCATGTCACCCATCAGGCATTCCATGTCTAGATCTATGCCTTTGTCTACCATACCCATCCATATCCAGCGATCCACAAATATCCACAGCCACAGCTATCCATAGCTATCCATGCTCCATAGCTATCCATAGTTATCTCATTTATGTTTCTTATGTTCAATGAAACCTAAGTGTCGCAGAAGTTGATGAGCTCTCACTGGCTCCGCATTGTCATTGACACAGGAGCCTTGGCATCAGATGTTGATGTTTCACAGCTGCACCAACAAGTCTGATATGTTCTGATTCCAAGGTTTCTTCACGTTTCTCCATGTTTCTCCCGTTGAAATAAGTCTTAAGGTTCAAACACTGGGATTCCACGATTGAAAGGCACCAGACATTTGCGCAGGCACAGAAGGCATGCGAACACCTCAAAGATGTGAGCACCAAGGAAAATTCAAAAACCACAATTTTACAGAAGTTTCACATAATTTCAGTATGTCTCCAGATGCCTTCAGTCTTAAGTGATTGAATTGAAAGTATCAAATTCGGACTACCCAATGATTCACAGCAAGACAATCAAAATACTATATTGAGTGGCCAAGCGAAGAATACCGTTTTGCAACTCTGGCGCTTTCGGTTCTCACAGGAGCCGTGTTTTTTTTGGTTGCTCTGGGTCTATACACTGGCAACACATGTCTACGCGAGCCCTACGCAATGGGGTTTTACCTAGGATTGAGCATCTTACTACGTAAATTGTAGCCCCTCAACACCGAACTTTAAAAATATCATGAAATAATCCAGAAAACATACCAATCACCAATGAGTCACAACAAGTATCCCCAACACATCGCCCGGACTTGCGAAACTTCTCTTCCACATCACAGTCAGACATGGTTTTGACCATCAAATCGGAAACGCAAAGCGAGATCTAGAGCCACTGAGACACACAAACACATTTACATTCTGAACAATTTGTTGTAAGTAATTCCCAAAGACAAACAAACCACTATATATCCGCCGACCCCGGCAGGCGCAAGGCGGAGCGCGAGCGCGCCAGGGAATAAGACTTTTTCCGCCGACCCCGGCAGACAAAAGTAGCCAAAATCATCACATTTTCTATGGGTTTCAGAAGTTGCGTTTCAGAAGTTACATTAGGCATGTTCGGGGTGCAATTTTGGAGTTTTTCCGTCCTTCACTGCCATGGTGTTTTCCCATCCGGGGACCAGCAGCAGCAGCAAAAGCCTCTGCAGCAGCAGGAGGAAGAGGTAGCCAAAATTCATAGCAGCAGCAAGATGAAAAAGCAACCAAAATCATCATTTTCTATGGGTTTCAGAGGTTACGTTAGGCATTTTCCGGGTGCAATTTTGGGGTTTCTCCCTCCTTCACTGCCACGGTGTTTTCCCATCCGGGGACCAGCAGCAGCAGCAAAAGCCTCTGCAGCAGCAGGAGGAAAAGGTAGCCAAAATTCATAGCAGCAGCAAGAGGAAAAAGCAACCAAAATCATCATTTTCTATGGGTTTCAGAAGTTGCGTTAGGCATTTTCGGGATGCAATCTTGGGGTTTCTCCCTCCTTCACTGCCACGGTGTTTTCCCATCCGGGGACCAGCAGCAGCAGCAAAAGCCTTTGCAGCAGCCGGGGGAAAAGGCAACCAAAATTCATAGCAGCAGCAAGAGGAAAAAGCAACCAAAATCATCATTTTCCACGGGTTTCAGAAGTTGCGTTAGGCATTTTCGGGATGCAATCTTGGGGTTTCTCCCTCCTTCACTGCAACGGTGTTTTCCCATCCGGGGACCAGCAGCAGCAGCAAAAGCCTCTGCAGCAGCCGGAGGAAAAGGTAGCCAAAATTCATAGCAGCAGCAAGAGGAAAAAGCAGCCAATATCATCATTTTCTATGGGTTTCAGAAGTTGCGTTAGGGGCTTCTCCGTCCTTCACTGCCATGGTGTTTTCCCATCCGGACCAGCAGCAGCAAAAGCCTCTGCAGCAGCAGGACGAAAAGGCAGCCAAAATTCATAGCAGCAGCAAGAGGAAAAAAAAGCAGACAATCATCATTTTCTATGGGTTTCAGAAGTTGCGTTAGGCATTTTCGGGATGCAATTTTGGGGCTTCTCCCTCCTTCACTGCCACGGTGTTTTCCCATCCGGGGACCAGCAGCAGCAGCAAAAGCCTTTGCAGCAGCCGGAGGAAAAGGCAACCAAAATTCATAGCAGCAGCAAGAGGAAAAAGCAGCCAAAATCATCATTTTCTATGGGTTTCAGAAGTTACGTTAGGGGCTTCTCCGTCCTTCACTGCCATGGTGTTTTCCCATCCGGACCAGCAGCAGCAAAAGCCTCTGCAGCAGCAGGAGGAAAAGGTAGCCAAAATTCATAGCAGCAGCAAGAGGAAAAAGCAACCAAAATCATAATTTTCTATGGGTTTCAGAAGTTGCGTTAGGGGCTTCTCCGTCCTTCACTGCCATGGTGTTTTCCTATCCGGGGACCAGCAGCAGTAGCAGCAAAAGCCTTTGCAGCAGCAGGAGGAAAAGGTGGCCAAAATTCATAGCAGCAGCAAGAGGAAAAAGCAGCCAAAATCATCATTTTCTATGGGTTTCAGAAGTTACGTTAGGGGCTTCTCCGTCCTTCACTGCCATGGTGTTTTCCCATCCGGACCAGCAGCAGCAAAAGCCTTTGCAGCAGCAGGAGGAAAAGGTAGCCAAAATTCATAGCAGCAGCAAGAGGAAAAAAAGCAGCCAAAATCATAATTTTCTATAATGTCGGCTGCGCCTGCTGAGTGTGAAGGCTGCGGTGCCGTCCATGGCAGAAGCAGCATGGCGCAATGGGGGTTTCCCCAGTTTCAATGGGTTGATCAAAAGATTTTTCCGGGGTCGGCGGCAGGGCGGCAGCCCTTAAATAATATAGCGAGATATTATTCATAATAATTCCTTCATAAGTTCCAGTTGGATTACTCTATGTCAATCCACCAGCGCCTACGCGACCTGCCTACACGAACTTGCCTACACAAACTGCCTACGCACGCCTACTCCCCATAGAGAATAACCTACGCAGCCATATTGGAGTTCCATTTTCATATAAAATCCATCAGTTAAAAAAACGTAGCTCACATGAACCGCTGCCGCCAACTCTTTCCCAACTCTTTCCACAGTGATTCACAACTCAGTGAAATAATCTCGCACCTTGCGGCCCTTGCATCACCAGTTGCCGGGCAGAGTCCTGTCAAGGTCACATTCACGATACTCACATCATCTCACATCTAAGTCATCTAGTGCGGACCCTTGATTCAAGTGAAAGACCTAGCATTAGCGGGTTCCAAGTTCATCAATTAGATCGAGCAAAGACACTGGAAACACTCAATTGTGGCCTGGCAATGCCAAACCAATGGGCTATCGTTCAGTTCATGGCTCTTTGTTTCATGCCAATCTGCCCTGAGCTAACATACTCTCAAAGGAGCTGGACATCTAGCCAAACAAGATAAGAAGTCACCCTAATTGATGAGAAGAGCGAAACCACCTCACCACCAGAACAACTACAAGAAATTAAAAAAATGGATCCCCCATGTATAGCCCGCTAGATGCTTTGCGGCCGACTTTATAGAGAATAGCCTGGTATAAACTGGAATGGCCACGTGTCTGGAGTCTATAAAGTGGAAAGCCAACATGTTTTGTCTATAAAGTCAAAATCCAACGTTTGTATAAAGTCGCCTGGCCGCGTAAAAACATAAAACTCGATGCAGGTTTTTGAGGGTGCTTGTGAACATGTCCCATGACTATAAAGTGAGATGCCGAACATCCAGATAGTAATACTTGTGCAGAACAGTGGCACTATAATGTGGATTTCCGGCTAAACAACGATCGTTGTAGTAGCGATGATTTTCTTAATCGCGACGATGGCAGCATCGACATGATTGTCTATAAAGTTGAGGGGCCACGTTCAAACCTTGGGGGAATATCATCGATCTCATCGATGGGGAACCCAAAAGACTTCGAATGACTTCGAAACCGAACGAAACCGACAGCCAGACAAATATCTATATCGAACTCGTTAACAGAATCTATGGTAAAACCAAATCTATGTTGGACTGGCCACTTTATACCCTCCCCCAACAGAGAATGTCTCTAACACACTTTCCTTTGAAAGGGGTCCTTGGGGTGAAAGGGGTCCTGGTCGCGCCGCGCGCGCGCGCGCCAAAATGGCTCCAATTTTGACACCTTTTTGGCGGACCCCATTCACCCTGAGGAATTTTTCAAGGGAAATCTTCTTCTCTATAAAGTGGCCAGTCCAGGTAAAACCCCTGAAAAAACAGAATCTATGTTGGACTAGCCACTTTATACCCCCTCCCCCAACAGAGAATGCCTCTATAAAGTGGCCAGTCCAGGTAAAACCCCTGAAAAAACAGAATCTATGTTGGACTGGCCACTTTATACCCCCTCCCCCAACAGAGAATGCCTCTATAAAGTGGCCAGTCCAAGTAAAACCCCTGAAAAAACACATTTTTACCTAGAATGGCCACTTTATACCCCCTCCCCCGACAGAGAATGCCTCTATAAAGTGGCCAGTCCAAGTAAAACCCCTGAAAAAACAGAATCTATGTTGGACTGGCCACTTTATACCCCCTCCCCCAACAGAGAATGCCTCTATAAAGTGGCCAGTCCAGGTAAAACCCCCTGAAAAAACAGAATCTATGTTGGACTGGCCACTTTATACCCCCTCCCCCAACAGAGAATGCCTCTATAAAGTGGCCAGTCCAGGTAAAACCCCTGAAAAAACACATTTTTACCTGGAATGGCCATTTTATACCCCCTCCCCCAACAGAGAATGCCTCTATAAAGTGGCCAGTCCAGGTAAAACCCCTGAAAAAACACGTTTTTACCTGGAATGGCCACTTTATACCCCAGCCAGTGGGCTCCAGGACTTTGACCCGGAAACGGAAGGGCTGACAACAAGGTAAAGGGGGAAAACTACAACGGAGAGGTACAACGGGAAGGCTACCACAAGAAAATGAGACATGTCACGTTTATATACGTTTATTGTTTTCAATGTGTCATATAGATTGGCGATGATTGGTATATTGAATATGTTGTAGATGTATTTTGGAACATATGTATACCTATGATTCACACATCAATATAAATATATATAAATCATAAACGCATGCCAAACCAAAAACTTTTAGCTGAGTATTGTATTCCCAATCTGTTGGCAAATGTCCAGCCGATTCACCATGCGTGACCCAACAAGATTCAAACTATGGATTGTTTACTTTCGAAAATATTTTTTTACTGGTTCTTGCAAACAATTTTATAGAGGATGGGCATGGACCGGCCAGTTTATACAGAGGGTGGGGCTGCCAGAAATGACGTGATCAAGCCACTTTATAGAGCTGAACTTTCTTGCAACCATTTTATAGAGGATGGGCATGTGGCCGTGGTTTTGGTCCATAGATGTCCATAGATTTTTAGGATGATTTTGGGAGATTGTCGTCATAGGTATACGTAGATTCACCCAGTATTTTTTTTCAAAAGTAAACAATCCATAGTTTGAATCTTGTTGGGTCACGCATGGTGAATCGGCTGGACATTTGCCAACAGATTGGGAATACAATACTCAGCTAAAAGTTTTTGGTTTGGCATGTGTTTATGATTTATATATATTTATATTGATGTGTGAATCATAGGTATACATATGTTCCAAAATACAGCTACAACATATTCAATATACCAATCATCGCCAATCTATATGACACATTGAAAACAATAAACGTATATAAACGTGACATGTCTCATTTTCTTGTGGTAGCCTTCCCGTTGTACCTCTCCGTTGTAGTTTTCCCCCTTTTACCTTGTTGTCAGTCCTTCCGTTTCCGGGTCAAAGTCCTGGAGCCCACTGGCTGGGGTATAAAGTGGCCATTCCAGGTAAAAATGTGTTTTTTCAAGGGTTTTACCTGGACTGGCCACTTTATAGAGGCATTCTCTGTTGGGGGAGGGGGTATAAAGTGGCCAGTCCAACATAGATTCTGTTTTTTCAGGGTTTTACTTGGACTGGCAACTTTATAGAGGCATTCTCTGTTGGGGGAGGGGGTATAAAGTGGCCAGTCCAACATAGATTCTATTTTTTTTCAGTGGTTTTACCTGGACTGGCCACTTTATAGAGGCATTCTCTGTTGGGGGAGGTGGTATAAAGTGGCCAGTCCAACATAGATTCTGTTTTTTCAGGATTTTACCTGGACAGGCCACTTTATAGAGGCATTCTCTGTTGGGGGAGGGTATAAAGTGGCCAGTCCAACATAGATTCTGTTTTTTCAGGGGTTTTACCTGGACTGGCCACTTTATAGAGGCATTCTCTGTTGGGGGAGGGGGTATAAAGTGGCCATTCCAACATAGATTCTGTTTTTTCAGGGGTTTTACCTGGACTGGCCACTTTATAGAGGCATTCTCTGTTGGGGGAGGGGGTATAAAGTGGCCAGTCCAACATAGATTCTGTTTTTTCAGGGGTTTTACTTGGACTGGCCACTTTATAGAGGCATTCTGTGTTGGGGGAGGGGGTATAAAGTGGCCATTCCAGGTAAAAATGTATTTTTTCAGGGGTTTTACCTGGACTGGCCACTTTATAGAGGCATTCTCTGTTGGGGGAGGGGGTATAAAGTGGCCAGTCCAACATAGATTCTGTTTTTTTCAGGGGTTTTACCTGGACTGGCCACTTTATAGAGGCATTCTCTGTTGGGGGAGGTGGTATAAAGTGGCCAGTCCAACATAGATTCTGTTTTTTCAGGGGTTTTACCTGGACTGGCACTTTATAGAGGCATTCTCTGTTTTGGGAGGGGGTATAAAGTGGCCAGTCCAACATAGATTCTGTTTTTTCAGGGGTTTTACCTGGACTGGCCACTTTATAGAGAAGAAGATTTCCCTTGAAAGGGGTCCTCAGGGTGAATGGGGTCCTCAGGGTGAATGGGGTCCTGGGCAGCTCTATAAAGTGATTTGGGTGATGTATCTCATGACTCTATAAAATGCTCTGCCGCAATTTTCTTTCTATAAAGTGCCCTGGATGCAGCACAAATTCTTCTTCTTAAAGGGCAAGTTTCACTCTATAAAGTGCTTTGCCATGTATACAGCCCCAACAGAAAGATATTGGCCCGAAATCATTGGGGAGGCATGTTTCTATAAAGTGGATGGTGTGACATATTATGGCCATTCTTTGAAGGGAACCAACGGTCTATAAAATGCATTGCCGCATATATTGAGTCGTTTCCTTGTGGGGAACCAGCCGGGTATAAACTGGAAAGCCAACGTTGCTATAAAGTCATCTTCCAGGTCCAAGGGCATGTTTCTCGCGCAAAACACGGCTTTATCCCCCATTGTCGGTATATAAAGTGGCGACCGGAAACCCACTTTATAAGCGCAAAGGATGTCCACTTTATAGTTAGCTATACATGGGGGATGTCATTTCAAGTCTTTGTAATTTCTATCATGTCAGCTGATGTCAGCTGATGTATGAGTTTGCAGCCAAGACACTGGTGGCGCTGCCTGACCTTGCGGCCTTGGTGGCATCTGCCTCAGAGTGGAAACGTGCGCCCACCTTCTGGTCAAAGGCATGAGTACAAAGTCCAAAGCCTTTCAAACATAGCAAATACTTCAGTGATCTTCAGTGATCTCTAGTGATCTTCAGTCTACTCGGCTCATTCACAGCCTTAAAATCAGATGTGCAAGCAAGAAAACTAGCAGTTCTTTGACTCCGGCGTTGCTGCAGGACAAGGTCCCTGACACAGCGCCAATCCAGAGGGACATCGCTTACTGCAAACGATCTAAACTTAAACACTCACAGGTGTGAGTGGACCTGACAAAACATGAGACTCCGTCTTGGTGGCGGGGATTTCGGTAAGGAAGTTGGCACAAGCATGGTTTCAGTTCATGCAAACTCAAGCAGGGAGACTGTTTGAAGAGCGTAACTTGGCAAAAGCAGAACTGTAAGGCTGTGGACTAGACTAGATATGCTTTGCGTATGCAGGGTCACTGATATTCGTGCTATTTGTCACTTGAGGCCCGGGGGGGTGCACGAAGCTATGCAATGGAGTAACTTTTTTCACGGGGTTGAGGCGGGATGACTGCCGAAAATAATGGGAAAGGATGTATGAGATGATGAGAGATGAAAACAAATGATATTATGCGATGGGATGGGATGCGATTAAAGGGATGTGATGAGACGCGACCAGAAAAGATATGATGAGACACGATGAGACATGATGAGATATGTTGACACGGAAAGCCCTGATGAGACATGGACGTGATGAGACATGACGAGACGTGTTGAGACATGATGAGACATGATGAGACATGATGACATGAAAAAGCGGATGAAACCTGTTGAGAAATAATGAGACTTGTTGAGACATGACGAGACGTGATGAGACGTGATTAGACATGAAAAACCTGATGATGTTGAGACATGATGAGACATGGTGACACCTGATGAGACGTGATGAGACATGCTGAGACATGTTGAGACATGATGAGACATCATAAACCTGATGAAACGTGTTGAGACGTGATGAGACCGGATGAGTCATGATAAGGTCTGATGAGTCATGGTGATACATGATGAGACATGGTGAGACATCGTAAGCCGCTCATGAGACGTGATGAGACACGATGACACGTAGAAAAACCTGATGAGACATATTGAGACATGATGAGACATGATGAGACGTGATTAAATAGACATGAAAAACCTGATGATGTTGAGACATGATGAGACATGATGAGAAATGATCGGATGAGATGAAATGAGATGAGATGAGACATGATTAGACACGTAGGAGGAAACATCATGAGATGAGATGAAGTGCGACGAGACAAAATGCGATGGGAAAAAAATAGGATACAGCATATATAAGCTCTGTTGAGATGATAGGAGACGAGATGATATGACATACTGTCATACTGAAAAGTCATGCAGAGATCATCCAAAATCGGGGGAGGGGGGCGGAAGGGGGGGTTGTGTGAAACTTCAAGCAAATGGACGATGACCTGCCATCAGACCCCCAAAGCTACTTTGCTGAAGCAAAACCCAACTCCAGCTTGCTGCCGCTAGCTATCGTGATTATTTGTCTACATATGTCTACATCTTCATAGTCTGACAACTCCATGATGCGGCTGTACCTGGCCTGTGGCCCTGGACCCAATCTCGGTGCCTGGTTGGAAAAGAAAAGAACTTCGATGCAATTCCCATGTTACAAATGTCACACCTCTGCGGATCACTTAAGGATCTTATTGCCTTTACAGGTGAACATGATGACTATCCGTCGGACTCAGTGGCTCTCGCAAACTTAAACAGACCGTGTCGACTGTTTGGGTGAATGAATATGAATGATAAATCCAAACTTCTTCTTCCGAATCTTCTTTTGCATGTTTGTCCAATATGTTTGTTCAACAATTTGTTCATTTTGTTTTCATATATACATCATATTACATCATTATGCATCTGTGTAAATCATGTTCCGAGCTCCCCCGAGTTCCGCCTTGTTTGGTTCCCATCCAGGCGCAGGTGGCCGTGGCCGTTGAAAGGTCTGTTGCGGAGCCTGCGCCGCGGCCTGATCCAAGACCACCCAGCAACTAACGGAGATCATGTATACATTATAAATATATATATATAATAATATATAGTATGCGTACATATTATATTGTTTTCGGTGAAACATCGCTATGTTCACTGTGTTGGATTCCCAAAGCGATCATTCATGTCTCTGCAAAAATCTAACGAATTCCCTTCTCACTACTTTGTGTGTAGTGAGCCCACAATGTCAGTCCAGTATCCCAAAGAGTTCCAATGTCATGGTTGCTCATGTCATTTCATGTCCTTCTAGCGATCATACCATGTGTTGAGACAGTCATGATCATAAACTCATGTCCTATTATGGGAGGGATGCTTTTGATTTCTGCTCAGGGGCCAATTTGCCTGACCGGCAAAGTTTCCGGTCTTCAGCTGCCGCAAAGCAGCGGCAACCTGAACTTGAGTAGTGGCATATCTATCACAAGGTTGCTTATAGTCTGTCTTTCAAAATTCGCTGGCTTGATCGTTTGGGCTCCAGCATCGGCATCGACTTCCCCCATGATCCCAAAATGCCCTGCTTCTACAGATTGCTTCAAGTGTTCGCTCACCTGTTCAACTTGGGTATGCTACTTGCTTACAGCTTACAGATGCATAGAGAAAATTTCAACAGCATGTCGTATCGCCAGCTTTGATTGTGCGTTGAGTGCTGGGAACTTCCTATTTCCCCTGCATAGTGCTGCATTCCTCATAGGTCAATCCGGCACAGTTGCTTTTACTGTTCACTATTCGTTGTGCTCATGCTTTTTCCATCTCTTTCCCATATTCTCAGCCTTTTAAGCGAAGCCAAACGAGGTGGACATGCAAATGACATGGCCAAGAAGTGCCGAGAGATTTAGAATCGAACAAGAATGAATCAAGACATGCTGACAGGCTGAAGTAGTCTCTCCCTTATCCCTGATATTTTTGCCCTCGCGGCATACTTCTCCGTACCAAAAAGACAAAACAGCTCGAGAGTTGCAAGGCAGGTGGGCATGGTGGGCATGGTGGGCTCACTTGCATCCATGTTTCTCCATCGCTTTCAGGATGTTGAGAGTGCCTGTTAGGTTATTCTCATAGTACCTGGCAGGAATATGCTTGAACGGCTTGCATAGCTTGCATGGCTTGCATTGCCTACTTTACTACTTGTTTCCCCGCACCACATTCTTGCCAAATTGCATTACACTGCAGTCTTCAACAAACCTTTCCAAGAACGATACGCTCGAACAGATCCAACAGCGCACCACAAAGGCTTGGCAACCGATTCACCAACTGCCTGAAGGCTGAGCAGCTTAGTCTCCCTGTCTAAGGCCCCTTTCCAGAGACATTGTTACATCGAATCATGATCTCAATTATCAAATACGAAGATATCTAAAGCATCTCACAAGAAAGGGGGGAAATGGGGGAAAAAATGCAAGCTGTCAACTGTTGTGTCTCCTTCATCATCGCAGCGGAGCGTAGTGTTGAGTCTCTAGGTTCAACTGGCTGCAGCATTTTCTGCGACTTTCTCTCGCAAGGTTTTAGGTTTGGACTCTGGCAGCTTGAGCTGACTTCAAACATCACAAAGGCCAGTCAGGCATCAATACCTTCTTGTGAAATTATAACATTGTACGTTCCTTTTCGTTTTTATGTGTTGTTCAAAGTCTCCAAACGAAATCGCTCCAAGCTGCAGCATTATCTGTGGAGATGGCCACCAGACTTGGAAAACTGGTCACAATGAGATATGCACACTTTGGAGACCCTGTTTTCTTTGCGTCTGTAGTGACTCTAGTGACTCTAGTGAATCTTGGTTGTAGGATCAACCGAATCCCAGAGCATGGTCTAGAGTCTAGCTAAAACTAACTACTAAGTGATTCTAGCTACACTGTAATGCAACCGTTCACGACGTGACATTACGATAGAGGTTGGGCTAAGCATCATGTAGTGCCTTTAACTTTATACTCTTTCTCCAGAAAGTGAAAGATTTATTTGGGCGTTAACTCCAAGATCTCTAGGCCACAGCTCCACTTGCTGCACTGCCTACAAGGCAGAGTCCAGATGGCTGCAACAACCGCAGCACTGTGCTCCTTTGGCTCGCAGTTTTGGCGCGCCAAAGTCTTAGAAGGAAGGTGCTTGGAGTGCAACGCTCTGGACGGACTAGCGCGTGTGGCTATTGAAAACACACAAAATGCGGGAGACAAAGAAAAGCTGAGAGCTCCTCTTTCTCTTCCTGGAAAATGTGAAACAATGAAAAAGAGCAGGAGGGACAACTGATCTTTCAAGCAAAACAATACCATTTGTTTTGGTCATCCGGTCATCCGGAGTCATCCGGAGAACTGTGTAATTGTTGTTGTCCGCCTTAGCTCGACCGAAGCTACCTTGAGCACTGATTCCCTAAAGGAGATCAATGCGGAAAGCCCGGGTCGCCTGAAGCACAAAGTGAAAAAAAATGCGAATCCATAGAATCATAAGCAGCGTTCTACACCATTGTGTTCTCTCAGTGTTCTCTCAGTGTTCTTTCAGAGGGCAGTGTTTGGGTGTGTTTTTACACAGCAAACTGACAGATCTGATAGGACGAAAAAATTGTGCCGATCTGTGTCGTTTCTCAGCGCGGTTCACCTCTTGGAGGTCTCACCGTGGCCTGGCCAACTGCGTTCACATCCCGGCGTGGTTTGAAGATGTTTGAACAGGAACTTACAGTGTCTACAGATGTCTACAGGAAAGACTACCAGGAAAAATGACATGTCCACACACAAAATATAAAAAGATATGAAAACATACTTGAAAGGCAAGGGAAAAGACAAGCGAGGCAGGGCAACTTTGGGGGTGGCCAGCAATCAGAGGGCCGTGCAGGTACTCTCCTGGTCAAGACAGAGCCCAACAAATTTGTCAGATCTCTGTGCCAATGTCCCCTTATTTGTTTAAGCTCGAGATAGCATGAATGGCGGTGGACCGCGATGACAATGACTAGAACAAAACAGAGGAATGGGACGGGTTCATCACGTCTCTTATGTAACATTATGTAAAATTATGTAAATTATTGCAAATTTATGTAAAATTATGTAAACATAAATCTGCTTTGCATGTCAGCTTGCACCTTGCCGAGTTGGATCGCCGCCCCGTGGCGTCAGAGCCACCTATACTACGCTGGTGCACCAGATCGCGACATCAACTGTCTCAACATGAAAGGTAACCATCTGTGACAAGTGTTCTGTAACTATTCCCTTGAACAATGACAGTGGCTTGCTTCATGAAACTCCAAGGGGTTAGACAATGGCTTGCTTCATGAAACTCCAAAGGGGTTACCTTTGAGGATATCTTACATTGCTCGTCATTGCAAGTTGTTTTTAGGCATGTGAGACAATCAGACAATGTCATGGCATGCCACGGTTCGGTCAATCCGCGAAGCCTGCTTTTTCTGGATGTTTCTGAGGCATGGGCTTGGTGACGTCGGCGAGGAAGCGGCAGCTCGCACCATATGTCTCGGAATCCTGTCAGCCAATCAAGAAAGTTTTGAAATAGAAATAAAAGGAAACAACATAACGCAATGAACGGCACAGAGCCTGGATGACTAAATGCAATCTCCTGCTCTGTATTCATCTATATCTCCAACATTCTACAACATTCTACAACTATATCATACTATATCTAATTATGTCGTTTCAACTGACGGCAGAACAGAATCTGATTGCTAATTGCCAGAAATAATTTTCGAATGACTTGAATCGAATAGTGACATCTCGAGGACACATCAAACGCTTGTCGCAACGGCCACGCCTCCGCGGGGGAGGAGACTCAGTGTCCGTGCGAGGTGTTTGTGAATTTGGGGTCCTGACATCCGACAAATCCAACAGATTGTACGAATCCGATAGATGTCTTTGTCAAAGCGTTTGAAGCAGCGTTGAAAGCTTTTTGCCTGGACGGTTCCCAGGAATCTCTCCGATCTTCTACCTGTGGATTCCAACGAAACCAAATAGGTGGTAGATGTCTAATGTTGGCAAACAAAAAATGTAGGTGTGATCATGTGGGATCTATGGATATATTTGGCACAAGTCACATCCCATTGTTGAAGCTTCGCAAATTTCACAATACTCTGCTTGCGAAAGCTGATTCAGTGAACTCCGTCAATTGGGCAATATGTGTTCAACGGCAGAAGGGGTGATTTCTTCTGACGGCGAATGGCATGTCGCAAAGCTTTGATGATATCAATGAGATGTAATTTGTAATGATAGATATGATAGTAATGATATCATATCTGTCCAAATGCAGGACCCAACCTGTGCAGAGCTTGACAAGGTTCCGCAACCAATAAAGGATCAAAGTGATCATTTGTTCAATTTCACGCAAGTACAAAACACCTTTGCACAAAAATAGATTAAAATGGTGCTTATTTGAGCACTACTGGTAGTTGCTCCAGTGAACCATGATGATGCAGCTACACAAATAGTGAAACTTCGACACCCTCTCGTCCCACCAAATCCTTTTCAAACCAATTGGCTAACCAAATCCTTTTCCCAATCCTTCTCTAAGTCTGTTCCGTGCCTTCACAACAGGAATACCAGGAAGATGGTGAAGACGCGGCTGAGATGGCTGAGATGGCTGAGATGACTCAGAGTGCGTTGCGTCACTTCTCCTTGTGACCCGGACACTCACCACGGGCGAACTACGAGGAGGTCGGCTTGGCGATGAGCTGGGAGAGGTGTCAGATGTCGGTGTGGACGGGGGTGGAAGATGGAATGGAATGGAACTTGGATGGGAACTTGGATGGGAACTTGGTGCGTTGCTCGCCAAAGGCTTGGATGGTTTGGATGGTTTGGATGGCTTCGACGCTTCGGATGGTTCGGGTGCCAATGTGACGTCATCTTTGGGTGCTGCGGCTACTCGAAGTGTCGTCGCAGCATTGTCTTCTGGCCAATTCACCTTGCGCATCGGAGAGCGAGCTCCTCGAGGTGGAACAGGAATCGGAACCGGAACGCTCAGTGCACTCGGTGCGCTTGTTGCACTTGGTGCACGTGGCAAAGCAACCGTCTGAGACTGAACGACCTGAGCAACTGGTCTTGGCATGGCCTCACCAGGAGAGCGGTTTGAAGTACCACTTGATGGCCGAGTGCTATCACCATCTCCAATGGAGCCAGCCTCAGACTGTGCAAGACTTACCACATTAGAAGGCTTCACATGAAGTTCATGCCTTTCTCAATCTAGAATCCAGAATTCCCTACTCACTGATCTACTTTGCTGGAACCACCAAGAGCACAGGAGTGAATTCCAAATTGAGATTCTTGGATTCTTGCAGTGTTTGTCATCTGCGCTGCTGCTGCAACAACTGTGCACGCTGTGCGGACCTGGCAGATCTGTTCTCTGGTGCCCACACGATCCACATGATCCACACCTGCTCGTGTGCTCGTTCTATCTCGTTCTTATTTGCGCTACATAGAGCTACAGCTGTACCCAGCTTTGCTCATTTTGCTCGATCTCACAGCGTCCCCCATCCAAGGCGCCTGGGAGGCAGCAGCAGCGACAGCCTGCCCAGCTTCTGATCCATATGAAGCGGACCTTGGAATCGGATGCATCGGATGCCGCAATCAGCGCAATCAGGATGCAGTGCAAAGTCCGGCTCACTGCCAGCTCCCTGTACAGCCAAGGTGCAAGGATGGAGTCTCAGAAGGTGCTGGGTTCGGAGATTGAGCAACGGAAGATATTCGGCCTGGCTGGAGTCTGTTCTGGTTGTGCTGTATGACACTATCACTATTGGACTTGAGGCAAAGACACAGGATGCCATTTGCAGCCCGCGCGTGCACACATCACACGCTCTACAATTTGACAATAGTCAAGTATGAAGAACCGCACCCATCTAAGCAGCAGGCAATTTGTTGGACTAGGCGAGACATTAGGCTGAGTGTCCTGAAACATTAAAGACAAACATCATTCTAAATGATTCTACTTCAAGGAAACTCATACCGCCACTGCAGCCTTTCTTGCGTGGAATAGTCAAGAAGCATGACGGTTTGCAGAGTCCTCTTCCATCTCCGCATGAACCCTTTGGTTACTTGCCCAAATCATTCCGGCCTGACGTCACCAATGTGTCTGCCCGGCACACGTTAACGAAGTGACTTTGAACGCATCTCTGCACAGCTAAGGATGATAAATGCCTTCAAATTGGCGAAACTGCCGAGCCAGGGACGATTTTGTCCGCTGCATAGTCCCATGGGTACAGGTGCACTTGTGTGAGCTCCTTGGATGCCCAGGCCTTATTCGAATCTGGCAATCTCAACGGCGAAAAATATCGAAGAGCTACGCTGACAAACTCGGACTTGGTTCTTGAGTTTCAGAGTGGAGAATGCAATGATGAAAACTCTGCCAGTACCGTAGGCTGCCCGCCCCTTTTGTTGTTGACACTTGCTCGTGGGCACTAATTTGCCTCCAGGCCAAACCAGTCGCTGTCCAAAGGATTCTGTAGCAGAGGGAAAAAATCAGAACCATTGAAGTCTTGTACTGATTGTGTCCTTGGAAGTCAAATACTCACCCCGCTGTGCAATCTACACTCCTTAAACATCTTTGAACACTTTCATATAAACTTCACATATCTTCACACATCTTGCAAGATATCTTCACATGCACAATGAGTCACAATTTACGATACACCCAATCGTTGCAGTGCTATTTTCCTTGATGCCAAATGCTGACCTCTGACGGCCCCTCCAGGCAAGGCAGCCACCACAAACCACCAGCGCCTTATGTGACAAAGCGCTCATTGAAAACAACTTGCTGGAACGAGGCAAAGATAGCGCATGAAGGGTGGGGATATCACCGCAGCAAAGTTGCTCTTGGGCAAAATCATGATTGCTCTTTGTGCTGTAAATGTCTTAAGCTTTGAAACAATCCGTGAGGGAAGGACTGCCAGAGAGATGCCAAGAACAGGTGCCAGCGCAGAGTCCTGGGGGAATGTTTGGAACACTTCACACCAGAAGAAGGCATTTGGACACAAGACTCACCTTGCCTGTGGTAGATTGGCATCCTCCTCATCAGCGCTGAGTGTCACCTGTTCCACCTACAGGTGAAACAAGCTTTGACTTTGCAGAAGTGAGAAGACAAATCCGAGAGTTTCTGCATGTGCTGTGTGTTTGTGTGTGTGTGTGACTGTCCGACTTTCATGGGACTGTCACTGTCTTCAACTCCGTCTTTTCATGCTAAATGCATCTAAATGTACCTCAATGTTTAAAGTTTAAAGAGCAACGCATATGTGCCAAAATGTGCCAAAGTGTATCCAAATGTCTTGAAACAAATGGAAAGGAAGGTGCGAGGAAGGAAGCAGATAAAAACAACTTATGGACAATGCGTGCTCTCCTGTGCACCTTCTTCCTTTACCTGCCATTAAAGCTTTACCATGCTTTACCTTAGTTATACAGTAATACACAAGGCTTCCATCAACTGCCCATCCATTGCTCCATTGCTATCGAATCTGCCTGGAATGTTTGAGAGGTGCTGGCCTCAGGTTGTCACACGAGCTTGCAGCAGCTTGCATTTGGCGAATATAAACTCTATTGAGTTCATTGCATTGACAATCGAGATATGACGAGATAGTCCGGAAAGATCCGATTAAAAAAATCGGGAAATCTACAGGGTGCATTGAGGGACATGTTGACATGTTGTTGATTCTAGTTCTAGCATCAAAAAATATGGCTCGTGTGAGAAATCCCGAGACATGTCCTAACACCTTGTCTATGCTGCGCTTCCTTCCTGTCATTGCAAAAAGTTCCAATGCGACGCTGAGATTGGTGCTGTGGATGTTGGAACCTTTACCACTCCAGGAACCTGCAGAGACTTCAGTCCGTAACAGCACAAAACACTGTGGTTCTGGACCCAGCCAACCAATACCTGCTCATGAGATTGACCTGATTCAATCTGGATCAATCTGGATCAATCTGGTCTATTATGACCACATCGTTTTACATGAGCAAATTGCTTGCATTACCCAGAATGCACATCAAAAACGATACAAGCCTCACTCGTAGATGCCTCCTCAAGAGCCTTGCAGGCACAATAGCAGGCCAAAGCAAAGTTATTGCTTGCAGGCACAATAGCAGGCCAAAGCAAAGTTATTGCCTATTTGGAATGGCCTTTATGGCCTTTGCATATATGGTTTGGCTTTGCAAAGCCCATCTCTCTTGCCTCCAGACTTCCGGGCGACGAAAAGGTGCCCGTCGCAGCCGCGCTCGAGCTTGTTGCAACTGCAACTTCTGCAACTTCTGCAACTTCACTCGTTGTCGTTGCAGTCGGTGCAGTCGGTGCAGTCGGTGCAGTCGGTGCAGTCGGTGCAGCCGTTGTCGTTTCGACCGTTTCGACTGAAGAGCTTGTCGCCGAGGTCGTGCTGGTGATGTCTGGGCGAGCCTAAGGACTGCTAAGGCTTAGAAGGACTGGGAAAAGTATAGCCCAGTACAGCTGGAAGTCCTCTCTATGGTATTCTATGGTACTATAATCGTTTGTGGAAAACAATGAAGCTGGTTGATGGTGAAAGATAGTCAAAGAAGGTTGAAAATGGTCAAAGATTGTCAAAGACGGTGAAAGATTGTCAAAGACGGTGAAAGATCGCAACAGGCAAACAATGGCAAAGGAATAACACGTTCAGCTCCAGAACATGGCCACAACGTTTCTTCCAACTGAGGTCTTCACACTAATCTGCACTGCAGCAGGAATGCCAGTGGAAGCCAGCTCCTTGCGGTACAGAATTTAAAAAACAACCAAAAAGATCCAAAAAGTGTAATGCTTTAAATTTACTGACTTTGATCGGATGTGACTATGATGATAATTTGTGAAGGGAGATTCTGAACGTCGCGAAGAAATGGCTTGCTCTACTTCTCTACCTGTTTTGCGCCCAGGTGTTGCAGTCTCCAAGGAGATTCGTAGTAGCAGAACTCCTGAGAGCCTCCAAGTCGCAGATCAAAGCGAGCACCTTCAAGAATTCCAAAAGATGCCCAAAAGACGCCAACCCACATTGCCAGTGTTGTTTTCTGTCTACAGCTTCACAAGCACGGGGATTTGGCCCGGTCTTCAACCCTGTTTTGAAAAGCATGCTCTCAGAGACTGAAGACGATGGCGGAAACTCCTTCGGCATCGTAACATTGATCGGCATTCTCCACGAAAATGCCGGTCTGGTTGCGTAGCAAGTTGCAATGCGGCCGATCGGGTTTTGAACCCTGATTGCCGTAAAGCATCTGACCAGTTCGAGGCTGGTAGCTCTTGCCCTTCTTCTCTGCCATCTTGCCACGTGTTGGCACGTGCTCCAAGTATTGGACGAGCAAATCATTGCTAACAAAGAGCTCGCAGGCCAGCCCCAAAGGCACTTCCTTTCCATTTACCAAAATCATCGGCAGAGTCTTGTAGTCACTCTGCTGGCAACACTTGGCACAGAAGTATGCCAAGTTTGCCGCCAAACCTTGGTGCAGTCCTGCTTGCAGATTTGCAACACAAACACCTGGAGCTCCCGCAGCCTGTTTCATCACCTGAAAACAATGATCACAGATCGCTGTGCTGGTGAAGTTCACAATGGCCAGTTGCTTCCATGGAAGATGGACAAAGTTGTACTCGTACTTGGAAATTCCACATAGCTGGTGCAACTGCTCCAAAAAGCCACCCTGGGACATCTTGCATGAGAGTTTGAACATCAGAGAGGTGGCTTCAGTGTTTGCAGAGGTGTTCAAAGCATCTTGCGCCATCTTTACAAACTAGCGCTCAGCTGAACTAGTATTTACGTTCTACTCGCTTGAGCAACAAACACCAAATTGCAGGTTGGAAAAGCACAAGAGTCCATGATATGCACAAGAAACTCTTAAGAACGAGCAGTTGCGTGGATCTGCCTAATGCACCCTAATGCGTCTAATGAGTCTAATGCGTTCGACACTTAGATAAGGATGCAGACTCGGTCCTGCGCCACATCTTGGGCCACAGCAGTCAGGCTGGACTCAGAAGCCAAGAACTCTGAGATTCCTTTCGTTACCTCCCGGACCTGCGCAACTGCGATCGTATCCAAAAGACAAAGACTTTGCAGGGAATATCAGTGGGTCTACTACTTCACAGCCCAGTCGAGCTCTCAAACTGCGACTTTGATCGCCTGTGTCGCCTGTGTCGATTCATGATCCCTGTGTGGCCGTTGGCCTATGAATGAGGCAGCAACAAGCCTCCACAATGAATTCCAAAGTCTGCATAGCTGCCAACCTCGAATTTGCGATTTGCGATTGAGTAATATTTTGGACACTGAGATTTAAAAGGCCTCCCCAGACTGTGGCTAACTTCCTGATTCTTCGGTGGCATGAACAGTTTCTCTCCGCAATGCAGCCTTCTGCCGTTGTTCACTAGCTCGACAGAAACGGCCTCACATTGGAGCCAGCAAGTATCACGGACCAGTAACATCAGATGAGAATGGACGTTGATTCAAATGTGATTCACAGTGATTTCATATGAGTGCCGTCCAAGTTCGAGCAATCTCCTCGACTGCAAGAAAATGTGAGGGTCATGCTTCTGCATCAACATTCAGGGAGTCAGCGACAGCCTGGAGAGCACCACACTTTAAAGTATCTCGTCAGAAGGACACTTGAAGTATGCTCAAGCAGATTCTTGATCGAAGATGCCTCCTTTGCTCTCAAGAACTGGGTTCTTAAACGTCTTATATTTCAGTCTTGTTCCAGCCTCTTGCACTGACCCTTTGACACTTTCCACCTCGGAGGAAAGGCCGAAAGTTTTTCAGGTTGAAAAGGTAACCTTCAGACTTGAACGGCTTCAAATCTACAGGCTGCTTCTGGAAATCCGACCGTCCGAGACCATCTGTTTAAAGTCTGAGCAAACTGCACTCGTTTCATTGTTGACTTCGAGGACCAAATCAAAGCTAGCTGAGTCTGAAGTGACTTCCAGACAAACCTGCAACAATCTGACATGCATTTCATGTCAGAATACTGATACCCTTGGATTCTTGTGATCGGCGCAGTCATTGATACAATCAGAAATCACAAATCTTCATGTGTGTGTGTGTGCGTCAGTTTGCCTCTAGATCGCAGGTCGTGATGTTGGCTGGCTGAGCCTCTGCTTGACAGTCCTCCAGGTTTTCGCGCACTTTTTGTGCAAAGGAAGCGTTCCGAGGAGACATTGGAGACATCGTACGGTGTTGTATATGCTGAAACATGCTGTAACAAAGCACCTTGACAGTCCTGCACCTGCCCACTTTGACAGTACACGGCCCGGACTCGCTGACCACACCCATTTCCATCGCATTGCGACCAATCTCCCACCTGGTGAATCAAAGGGTTCGAGAGAAGTGAGAAAACTGGCAATTCTGACATGTTCTCAAAATCTTCTCGCTGTGGCTCTCTCTGAGAAGCCAACTTGCCACTGGCATCCAGTGTATGACGAGCAAGTGTCAAAAGTAGTGGGCTCTTGGCCGCAGTCCTTGCAGCTAGACATCTTGTCCATCGTGTTTAACACGTGAGACAATGAGGCAAACATGTTTGCTCTTCACCCAGCCATGCGCCCGCCTCCCAATATTCTGATGGGCATGACCTTAAGGAATCGGAATGGGCTTATGCCAGTAGCTTAAACGGAAGTACATCCGAGGCTGATCCACGTAAGGCGACAAGTAAGGCTACTACTTGTTCAGCCCAAAGCCTGTGGTCCAAAATTGTGGTGCTTAGCAGCCGGCACTGATCGGTTCTTGACTCCACTGCCGCAGCCTCGGTGCAAACAAAAAGGAAAGAAGCGGGAGTAAGTGGTCTACACATGTCTACACTCTACACCCTCAAAATTGGTAGATGAACGTCCCCAATAAATGGTTGTTCTATTCCCATCCGTTCCGACAATTTTCTTCTACCACCAGAAAGCAATGTTGGGCACTGCCCGTTGGCCACTCATGTATGCAAGGGGTTCTGACATATTATGACGCTCATGAAGACTCATGTAACAATGGATGCATTGGACGCCTGCAAATGTTTGAGCTCTGGATGGATACTATCTGAATGTGCATCATCTGTGTCAAGGTGCTGGTACTGCAGGTGCTCCATTCTGCAAGTTGCCAAGTACATCCGGAATTGCCAACCTGTTGAGGTCACTGTATCAGCTGCTGGCATGGATTGTGAACTGACGTTGTGCCGATTAAAAGATGCTAAAAGATGCTAAAAGATGTTAAAAGCTACAGCTTGCCCAGCTGAAGATTGATGATCTCTGACTCAGGATTTGGCGCAAGCTTGAACACTGGCAGGGCCCTCACCGTCACACGCACCAGCCTTATAGACAAGTCCAAAGTGAAAACTGTGAACATATCTGATACAAACATGCAATCGGGCCGATCTTGCAACGCAATCAAAGTCTTTCTTTTGCAAATGTCACCATATGCAATTGGCGATAGGGCAAAGACAGGGCAAAGGACTTCTCGTAGTTGGAAGCCAGGGCCACATGTGGCCTTGCTAATTGAATCTAATTGAGGCATATCGTTCTCACGGCTTCCACTAACTCCGAAGCCAGCATCATAAATCGTTACCATTTTGGATACAATAGCATCAAAACAGCCAGGGTGGCATTGCAGTCCGACCACTCCATCACCTCGTCTTGCGAAACAGAATTTGAAAGTTGCAACCCAAAACAGGATTTGCTGTGGATCACTTTGGGAAAGCACGCAGTGACTTGCTACAGCTCACTTTTCAGCTTGAGAAGCAAATGCTTTCGATACTTTCACTGCTGGGGAGCCAGCTGTCCAATTGCAGAAGGACTCAAAGCAAGCCTCTTCGGTAGCAGGTGCTGGTTGAGCACAATCGGCCTCGAGTGTCAGGCTAGGACTTGTGCAGTTTCCAATCACCAGGGAGGGACAAACACTCTCACCGTGTCTCACCGTGTCTCACCCAATCACTCCAGAAAGATCTTTCGACTTGAGAAGATAGCTTTCCTAAAGCGTCTTGTGGAGCTTTTGGAGATAAGACATGATAAGACATGGAAAGACAGTCAAGTCCATGGTTTGGTCCACGGTCAAGTCATGTCACCGTCGTCGTCAAATGTAACATGATTCTCATGATGTCCCAATTGATCTAATTGACTCTACTCTAACTATATAGTTGTATCTAATTGTATCTAATTGTATCTAATTGTATCTAATTGTGCCATTGAAACTGCTGAAATCTGCTGAAACAGAGTTAAATTTTTGCACGTCTTACGCCGTCGCCTGAGATCCACTTTCACAGGAGACGGTCCGGTTTATCCATCCCTGTCCACAGGAGCTGGAACAAACAGACCTCAGAGATGTACATAGTATGCCACAGTCTGACACAGTCGGACACAGTTCCAGAAAGTGTACCATTGAGTGACCTTTGATTGTTTCAAGGTGCTGAGTGCTGGGACTGAATTTCTTTGATTTGCTTGCGCTCTTGGAAATTAACGATTTCTTCTATTGCTTCTGACTAATGGCGGTGATCCCAAGTTGTCGGGAGTTGTTCATGCCTCACACCATTGCACAACACAGCGTCGTTGAGATACTAGCCATGGCGAAATTATCCACTGACAGCCCGTCACCTCACAGCATTACAAGGACATGAATTGAATATATAGATGGTACACGTCCAGGGATTGCTATAGTATCTTTCAAACTTTTGAACAAAATTTTAAAATATCACAAAAGTGTTCATGTTGCGAGTGCTATTGTGAGTGCTATTGCTGGAATTAGTTGTCAATAATTGTCAACTACAGTGTTTGCGCCGACCTCGCGGCAGTCCTCTGCCACTGCTGGTTTGGATGCATCGCAATCGCCTTCCACGCCTCACGACTGACACAACTGAGAAGCTCAGCTTGGGCTATACGGCTATACTTCGCAGCGTTATTTTCATCCATTTCAGGTCCATTTCGAATCCATTTCGCATACCTCTTTTTCAAGTCCTCCGTGATTTGTCCCTTTCGGATGTCTTAATTCTCCCAGCCACACCCATCGCCATTGCCTGAGGAGCATGAGATCTCCCTTGTCCGGAAGCCATTTCCACATGTTGCGCTGCACGATCCCCACCTTAAGGCGAGGAAAATGCATCGCATGGCACTCAACTGCACTCAACATGTCAGAACGATTTTCGAGATTGACATAGATTGACATAGATTGACATTCACGGTGGATTGTGAATTTCAACATGACTCAACAAAAATCGAGCATGTGGAGCTATAGGTAGAAAGTTCTGATCGCAAGACGTGCAAAACATTGCAAAACAAATGAGGTACTGACACACCCAAGATCCAACTGCACTCTGCGATGTCGTGACATATTTCGGTTGAATCCGGGCGGGCTCGACCATCGCAGTCTGCCTTCCAAAGGCAACTCATCCGGTCAAAGTTTCATCATGATTTCAATGATTTCCGTTTTTTTCGCCGTCTGACTTGTCCCGGCTGTATCTAGAAATATCTAGAATCTATATGAGTCTATCGTATTCTATCATCATCTATCATCACCTGTCCATGTTTTTTTCTGGCTGAGAGTTGAAATCCAGTCAGTGTCTTGCAGTTCGTGCCTGCGAAGGACCCGAGCAGGTCCTCGCAGCAAAAGTATGTTCTGTTACAGTTTTAGCTTTCCTTTTCCAAGAGGGTCTCAACACGCTGCATTGGCTGCTTGCTTGGAAAGCTCAGCAGCTAAACCACATGGAGGCTCTCAAACTCCCTGAGACTGCGGCACGTTGCGCTCTCGAGTCCCATAACCACACCTGTGCAGCAAGCACAGCAACTCTCAGTGTCAGACTCAATTCATATAGACTATGTGAAGTTAAGAAGTAAGCCAAAACAAAATACTAAGTTGAAGACCCGCTGCTACATTGGCCCCAATCTAGTGTCAGCCACATGCAGCCTGATGTGGCCTAGGCAGCAGTCAATTAATCTCAATGTGGCCTGTTGCTGTTTTCTTGCTGCTTTCTATTTGCATTTGCTGCAAACGACTTTGAAGTACTGTGGCCACCAGCATAGCAAGCCACTTCAGCAGTCGGCTCAGATCCACAGTCTGCAGCCTGAGCACCAGATGACCGGATGAGCTATGAAAAGCGCGGGTGATATCGGGTGATCAATTTGTCGTTCACCTTTCCTTGCCTTGATTTGTTTATGGATTATTTTTGGCATCCGGCATTGCCACTTGGGCAGCTCCAGGATTGAGTTTGGGTTCCAGCACCGCACCTGTCGAGTGACTCAAAAAGAGGAAAGGGATGGAAAGGGTGTGTGCGATCAGTTCTTCAATGTTCTTCATACCCTCGCTATATTTGACTTCGCACAACCGCATCTATTGAGACGCCAACGTCGCTGTGCATTCACTCAACGTCGAAGGCACCTTTGGAACGGAGTGATCACACGGCAGCTGGGTTCTGGAGCACGTCTCATGTCGAAACGGGATTGTACTGAAACAATGGGACAAAATATGCCAAATGTTCATCTCCGTCTAAAAAGCATTCAAGTAAAACATTGTAGACCACCATCATCCGACTGTCAACCTCTTGATGCCCTTCAATGCACTGAGGCAAGGGCCCAGCTGCAACTTTCAGTGGAAGAACATGCCGCTTCAGTCTCGGGCATTGGCTTTGGACAATCCTTGCCGACTGGAGAACGTCTCGGACTGCCACAAGACCGGCATTTAGAGATGCAGAGAAGATCTGGTTGCAATGCTCGTCGATTTGATGTATGATGAATGATGAATGATTCTGAATGATGATGAATGCATGTGTACAACTTCATAAAAGTCTGGAAGAACGGTGTTGATACGCGTTGATCAATCTGAATTACATGGTTCGTAGATGTTCGTACGTCCAGGAAACAATACGTCACAAAGGTCTGACAGGTCTCCTCAATGAAGCCACTCTGGCACAGTACAGAGCGCGTCTGGGTACCAGATCCACAGCTACTGGAGCAGGAGCTCCTGAGCCAATGAAAATGAGTCAAACTATGTCAAACTCGTCAAGCTCGTCAAGCTCGTGGTGATGGCAACATCGAGAAAACGATTCATAGCACATAAAACCTCATCAGACCTTCTATGATCCTTAACAGCCTTAACAGTCACATTCACAAGCCTCTGGTGTGAAAGAATAAAGTCTAAGGGGTGTACCAGTCACCGATGATCCAGGAGCAATCAGCACTGTCTTGGCAAGCCCTGCCAATATGACGAGATTGCTGGACAGAGACCCATATACTGAGATGGGGTCGTGGTAAACAATTCGGCTACTTGGCACTAGCGTGAGACAGCAGCCTCAACCTCCCACAACACCACTGGATATACCCGAAATTCTCTGTTTGTTTCTTTCAGCTCCAGACTATACGGTTACCGTACAACTCAGTGCCAACAATGCCAACACAACTGGAAAGCTGCAACAGTGCCAGCTAGACGATCTCGATTGTGCGCCCACGGATTGCTCCTGGTCAAAATTCAAAATCGGCAAAGAGTTCCGCACAGTGTACAGCAAGTGCAGCACGCTATGAACATATTTCAACGTCTGGATGGTTGACTTCCAGATACTTAGATTATCTTAGATTAATATGCGTGAATCAACCAGCACTGTGACAGCACTAGAGTCACTAGAGGTTGTGCGCAAGTTGTGCTCAATAAGTCCTCAGTCGAAGGGACATTTGCAGCCTGGCTCAACGAAACGGGTTCGACTCATGCTGCCAAGACTTATGCAGCGCGCAACAGTGGCCCCGATTGAACATAAATTGTGGTGGCAAAACATCAGTATCAGTACCTACTGGCGCCGTATACTGGCAGTCCAGTATTATTAACCTTAGGGCAGTATGCAACTGATGTGGAGACAAATGCTGCTCGAGACTGCCAGGCAGTGTAAGGAGGCACAGCATAGCTGTTGACTCCACTCAGAGGGACATTAAAAAGATACTATCAAGAAACACAAGTAACAGAAGTGCCACAACACGGTGTAATAGTACACAACAATTTGAAGAGGAGGGGACTGTGACAGGCAGAAATTTGAGATAAATGGCATTCTTTTTTGCAAATCCTAAATAAAATTGATCCAGATATGAACAGGTTGCACTTTTCAGCACGTACTTTTCACTTTTCACCCAACTATATGTTCAAAAATTGCCATAAATCAATGTGGTTAGGTGTTTATTCTGAAACTATTGGATATAATCTAGTTCCATGCAATTCCCACGCAAAATTATATCTATGTCTATGTTTCTTGTTTAAAGGCCTCCTTATGAATTTTGTTGTTTTCATTGTGCATATATATATTAATATATATATATTAATATATATATATATATATACGTCAGAGTAATAAGGCAACGGGTCATAAATGTAAGTACATACACACAATTCAGGAATAAGAATATTGAAAAATATGTGCACCTTAATATCCTTGAAATAGTTGCATAAAGCCCTTCACTGTCCCTTGCAAAATATCATGGTTTTTCTAAAAGATGCAGGGTGAAGTACAGCCGTCCTTTGAAGGGGAACATTTTTCTATGATACAATACGTAGCACCAGTTCAACATAGCGCATTCCTGTTCTAAAATGCAATATTAAATGCAACAATGATGTATCCCCAGCTTGTAAAGAATATATTTTCATGAAGTTGCTCCTTTGAGAAAGTACAATGTTTTTCAACGAGCAATACCACTACAAATTATGAAGGAATCCTCTAAAAGATGCAGCAGTCGCTTTTGAAAAAGCGCAAACTTCTTCCAGATGATGCGGTATCCTTTCATGTGCGCAATATTCCTGTGCCATATGTAGCATGCTTTTCAAATTACAGCCACCTTCTTAACATGCAGAATTCATGGCAAACTGTGCAATATCCAATGCATCAACGCAATATTCCTTGAAAATCATGTATATACGATGACTATGTTGCTTATACATGGCAAGTACCCCACCATAAGACACTATAGTATCCTTTTCAAGAAGCAATGTTCCTGCAAAAAATGAAGATAACTTTCTTCACACATGTAGTATTCCTGTTGAAAAGGTTCAGTTTTCCTTGTTGTTCCTTAAGAATCTCTAAAGGAACTATTTCATTTATTCAATGTGAAAGAGTTGTGCACTCTTCTGAATCAATTGTGTCCATCATTTTTGCAGAGGGTACTTCCCAAGATAATGCCTTATGCACCAAGGGAAATCCATATTACATCAGAAAGAGTGCTGCATATGTAAAAGGATTACAGTTTGGGATAAAGTTCCATTGTCTTAAGAGGATATTGCATCTCCCTCAAGGAGCTCGTAGTTTTTAAAGAAAAAAATAAGACGTTCCGCACGTTCTTTAAGGAATACCATACTTTTTTGATAAAAGGAACACTATATACACAAAAGGACTCCATCTTGAAATTTGGAATAATGTTTTAATGTCTGAGGGAATCGTGCACACTTTTCAAAGAGATGATGCACCCCCTTGACGGAAAATATTCCAGATAGTTATAAACATTCACTTCAAAGAATACCATGATTACAAAAAGAACTATGGTGTGTATATATATATACAGTAAATGGATCTTAATTTGAAATGGTATTGGAATCTGTTTTCAAACTGATGTTGCAATGTTTCAAAGGGAATGCACAGAGTCAGGCCACACCTTCTTTAAGGAATATCACGTTCTTTGAAAAATACGACTTGGGATCACGGATATTGCAGGATTGTATTTCAAAAAATTGCCGAACTCATGTCCTAAGTGCACTTTGTCTGCTTTATTTTGTTTCAATTTTTTTTCGCATTGTTTTTGAAACTTCAGAAAACTAGATGAAAATAGATGAAATACAAAATTGCCCTCAACCTATGCCCAAGTCTCTGAGCATCTCATTTTTCCAACTTTGGGGACAAGAAGGCAGGAACTGGCCGGAGCCATGATGTAGGACGTTATTAACTTAAATTATCAGGATTAATCCAGATTGATCAGGATCGGACCAAATTTTCGAGAAAACCAAAACAAACAAAAAAAAGATTTGGCAACTTATCCAGAGGTCAGAGTAGTTGTGGAAACATGTGTTTTTTGTTTTTTTTGGGGGAGGGATATTTTTGCTTTTTTGGTATCGATTAATCGTGATTAATGAGGATTAATCTTGGTGGAAGTGAGACAAACGGAGCGTTGATGTTCCAGACACATGCTTTTGTGAAGAGACTTGCTATAGGATAGCTTACATTCAGAATGAACTCTTGTGAGTATGAACTTCTTCATTGAATGTTTACCCCAAAAGCTTGAAATTCACCGCTCGCAATAGTCCTTTCCGATTTGAAAATGCTCTTTGCCTTTGGAATGAAAAGTTGCCGGTGACACCATGCTGCTGTTTCCAGAGACATTGGCAGAGTCGTTCTCAGACTCATTGACAGACTCGTTGTCATACTGCAACATGTTGCCCGCTCCGTCAGCGCGGCCATGCATTGACGACTCATTGTCAGTGTCATTCATCGTGTCATTGCCACTTTCTCCAGTCTTCAGCAAAGAATTGTTCCACTCATTCCACTCCGTCATATTTGTCATTGACATGTTCTCTTTGTCCATCGTCTCCACTGCCAAACTCCAGGTTCCATTGCTGACGTTGCTGTTGTTGAGATCTGGCTCCAGAATGTCCCAGTCCTGCAAAAGGATGTGCTATGAATAGATCATCAAAACCTCCCTTTGCGGTGCACACGGGTTGAAACACGGTTCAAAAATCTCTCCTCCATTTCACTGTCATTGCTCATGTTGGACATGTTTGACATAGTGTCCGCCTTTCAGCAACAAGTCTACTTAGTCTACTAATTTGCTGAACTTCATCAGGTCCTTTTTCAGGTTGAGAAGTGAATATTTTGACATCCTTCTTGAAGATCGGTTGGATCAGTTGGTTTAAATTGATTTGGAATTATTATGAATTATTTAAATACTTGGTGGGTGGTTTCGTCGGAGATTCGACTGAATCATACTGAATCCACAAGTTTGGGATCCGGCTGAAAGCACAGCGGCAAGAGGGTCAACCTGACAAATTTGTTCTGGTTTGAAGAAGTTTGAAGTCATGTTTTGCTCTCCTTGCCAAATTTTCATAGCACAATTGGCACCTCCAAGATTGGAAGAACAAACATCGCAAAGGGTGAATTGACATCGGCGCAAATCTCTTGCACCTCAGTTCACAATCCAAAGGCCAAAACTTGTCCGAAGCAGAAATGATAAAGTTTGATCAGTTGGAACAAGAAGTTTTGGAATGGTAAGCCGCGGGAATATAAACGGCATGACAAACGCGGCCATGGCTTGGAGCTGGTCCGGCAACGTAGTTGTGAAAGCCACTATCTCTGAGCTGACCACTCGCATTCTGTATGTCTGCTCAGGATACAGCTGGGCAATGTCCACTGAACACCTTGGAAGGCAGTGAGGGGAACTTGTTGAACACTCAAACTTGGAGCTTCCACTGCAACACTGTTGCAACACTGTGGTGGAAATCTGAAATGCGTGTCATCCAAAAACTCTGCAAGTGCTTTCATTCTATACACCTGAGTTCCCTTCAAAGGATTGTCTGTATGAAACCACTCTGAATCCGGATTGTTGGAACAGAAGAAGTAGTTTGCAACATGTGTATAGAATCTGTATGTATGTGGATATACCTTTACAAAGAACATACAGTAGTACGGAAACACATGGAATGTGTGTGTATATATATATGTGATTATATGTGTAGATCCGCCGACCCCTGCCTAGCCAGAGCGGCGACGTAAGCCGTGCAAGGAGACGAGTGTGTTACCACTTTATAAACGTTAATTTCTCAACCATTTTTTGAAATGTTGTAACCATTTTATAAAAAATATTGCTTGCCATTTTATAAAAAAATGTTGCTCACCATTTTAAAAAAAATATTTTATAATATTTTCTATTTTAAGTTTGCTTGGCGTGAATCTACATTTATTTTGCCTAAACTTTTCTAACCTTTTCTCCATTGTATCTTACCCCAAATGCAATTTTTCTCCATTGTATTTTGCCCAAAATGCATTCTTTCTCTATTGTTTTTTGCCCAACATGTTTTTTTTGTATGTATTTTGCCGAAACCTTTATGTTTTCTCCATTGTATTTTGCCCAAAATGCATTCTTTCTCTATTGTTTTTTGCCCAACATGTTTTTTTTTGTATGTATTTTGCCGAAACCTTTATGTTTTCTCCATTGTATTTTGCCCAAAATGCATTCTTTCTCTATTGTGTTTTGCCCAACAGGTTTTTTTTGGTATGTATTTTGCCGAAACCTTTATGTTTTCTATATATTACTATATATTCAAAAAGCTTATTATTATAAAATATATTACTATATATTCAAAAAGCTTATTATTATAAAATATATTATTATATATTCAAAAAGCTTATTATTATAAAATATATTACTATATATTCAAAAAGCTTATTATTATAAAATATATTACTATATATTCAAAAAGCTTATTATTATAAAATATATTACTATATATTCAAAAAGCTTATTATTATAAAATATATTACTATATATTCAAAAAGCTTATTATTATAAAATATATTACTATATATTCAAAAAGCTTATTATTATAAAACATATTACTATATATTCAAAACGCTGATTATTATAAAATATATTACTATATATTCAAAAAGCTTATTATTATAAAATATATTACTATATATTCAAAAAGCTTATTATATAAAATATATTACTATATATTCAAAAAGCTTATTATTATAAAATATATTACTATATATTCAAAAAGCTTATTATTATAAAATATATTACTATATATTCAAAAAGCTTATTATTATAAAATATATTACTATATATTCAAAAAGCTTATTATTATAGAATATATTACTATATATTCAAAAAGCTTATTATCATAAAATATATTACTATATATTCAAAAAGCTTATTATTATAAAATATATTACTATATATTCAAAAAGCTGTTGAGATTTACATATATAACGTGGTACTACAACTAAGATATATAACGTAGTAATATAAACATAAGAAATGGTATACTATGTCTAAACGTGGTTACACCACCACCTGCCGTGGAAACTGCTTCGATTTCGGCTTTCGAAACTGCTGCGTGGCACGTTTTGGCCACGCCTTGAAAGCCTTAAAACCCTTAAAACTTAAAACCCTTAAAACCTTCAAACACGTTCTTTTAAAAACTCAGCGTCCCACCCTACCTGTTCCGCCGTCTCCATGCCCTTTTCACGGGTTCCACGCTACCAACTGCTACCTTTATTACCTTTGCGTCTACACGCCCCTCCTTACCCGACTTCCTAACGGTGTCGGAACAGCCGTTTGTTGACTTTGGTTCCGCAGCACCCTGCCTGCCCGACCTTGCAAGAGTCTTGCGCTGCAACTTGCCACGATTGGTTTTACAGGCCGCCCCTGCCCACACTACCTCAAGCCTTCAAAGAGTCCCCTGTTGTTTCCCGCTTTCTTCTACACTGCCCTACCTTCCGAGCCTTGTCAAACATCTTTTCGGGGGGGTCGGCGGCACCAGGGTGTCAGCCCACTTATATTACATGTGTTGACTCGACATACAAGTTGGAATGATGCCTGGTCACTCAAAGCACCGCTGAAAGCACTGAGCCAAAGCACTGCTGCTCCATTCCAGCACCATGGCTGCGTGGGCAAACGTCCAATTGATGCCTAGGGACTTTGGCTTGGAGACTGACTGCATGTAACTGCATGGATACCTCCAAAGAAAGATTTCCACAACGATCAAAGATTCAACCTCTAGAGCCTTGTATCCTTTCAGATCCTTTCAGCTTCTGACTCTATATACTGATACTCAGTATCGACTCACTCTACTCCTACGATCCCTGAGGTCTCTGCCACGTCTCATTGAGGTAGTCGATCGCCCATCCTGCAAGGTGCTGGTGCTAACATGCCGGAGCGCAGGAGCTGCATAATGCAATGACTAATACTGCCCTTGAAGGGTCGTCCTGCGCTGTGACAGTCCCCAGACCTTAAGAAGCTCAATACGAGCTGTTTGAGCCACAGAACATTTTCCGCAGAAGACTTAAATCTACACACGGAGCTGGGATTCAGGCTCCATTCCTGACGTGAACGAGATGAGTGCAGCTTCTGGTGTACGTCTCACATGGATGTTCCTGCCAGATTTGAAGCTACTGCACGGTAGATGTTGCTTTGCACCAAATATACATGTCTGTGCCTATGCAATGCTATAGGCTGCTGTTTCTGTATGAAATAACACGATCTCATCTCTATGACTCTTGACATGCTTGGTCTCTCAGAACCTTGAATCGCAGAAATGGATTGACACAAATGAAGTCGGTCCAGGGTGCATCGGGGGCCAACAAATGCGTGGTGTTGGTGGCATTCCCGCAGCTGTTGGCCTTTGTGAACAAAGCCAAGCAAAATGGATTGCGCAAAAAGAAATAGCGCGGAAATATGTTCTTTGAACAGATAGTTGAGACTGCACAAGATGGTACTGAAGAACTGAATTGTTGAAATCGGAAGAGCATCACTGAGATGGTCCGAGAATGTCAGAGAGATCTAAGACAGAGCCATGCCTAATCAATTTGTATGTCCAAACTCAGTCTGAGAGCACTGCTGCCCGGTTCCTGCAATATTCGCAAACTTCCACGTAGTATGTCGTGTTTGACTGCAACCTCAAACATTTGCACCAATGATGAACCATCAGATGTTGGCACCGTGCTCAAAAATGGCATGATCCAAACCTCCTCAGCACCGCGACACTCAAACGATTTCGGCAAGATTCTGAGGTCCCCACCCTGTCAGCATACACTGTGTCGGTTCACGGTGTCGAGGCATACATAGCATCGTTTCATTCACAATCTGCAGGTCCTCAAATTGATTTTCGTGAATTCTCATTCACAGACGGAATGCTACTGCACAAACTACCTGTAGCTGTTCGTCCGAGTGCTTTTGGCTCTGGCAATCTGTGGCAATAAACTCGGTCGCATGCGCTTTGTTCAGTATCCTCGTCTGAGCCCACCTGGACCAGTTTTTGGACTTCAATGTTTCCAAGATCTTCCAAGCTTCGAAGCCGCTTCAAGGCCAACAACATGAGCGACCAACAGTGGCATTGCATGCCCCGCCTGCCCTCTAGACTCGGCCTGCTTCACTTCAAACGCTGTAGGATTCAGAGGAAATTGTGAAATGAATGGAGGCCCTGTTGAATTACTAGGAAAAGGTGGAAAATGCATTTTGCAGCGCCTGAAATTTACTGACAAAGCCCATAAAAATGCAATCTCGCAGTTCCTGCCAACAACACAATCGGCTCCAGACATCCATCTTGTCGATTGTCGAACATCACTTCTCTTTGCTGGACGCAACAGGGAAAAGCATTCGTCAACATGCTCGGACCCTCGGCTCCAAAGCAAACCACATGTCGTGCCTGGAGGCTGATTGGTGGTACCAAATGGTGCCACAGGAATCCACACGATACCAGAAGCACAAGAAATACCAGTGCTGTCCAGTGCTATCTGGTGCTATCCCTCACAAGGAGATCTTGGCACACAAGCTGAGCTCAGAACGGTCCCATGGTCAACAGACCTTGGAGAGCGGCGTGAGAAATATTAGATAGTCATCCCAAGCCCGCCCATGTCATCCTTACACAAATCCCTTCTGCTGCAAACCGAACACATCTGCCAAAAATCATCCAATAGGCCGTGTCTTACAAAGCAAATCAGCAAAAATTGCATAGCTTCTGGCTAACCAGTGGTGCATCTGCTGGAATCGCTGGAGTCGTAAA